ATCTGTCTGTCTGTCTGTCTATCTGTCTGTCTGTCTGTCTGTCTGTCTGTCTGTCTGTCTGTCTGTCTGTCTATCTGTCTGATCGTCTCTCCCCCCCTTCTCTCTCTTTCTCTCTCTCTTTTTCTTTCTTTCTTTCTCTCTTAAAATTATTCATGTTTCTGTCTGTTTCCTTGTTCCTTTCTCCCTCCTCTCTCCCTGTTATATTTACTTCTATCTTCTCTTCTCCCCTTCCCCTTTTAGTCTCTTTCCTGACGTCTTTTCGACCCCACCCCCTCTCCTCACGCCCCCTTCTTCCTTCTTCCCTTTCCATCTTTTCTTTCCCTTTTCTCTCACTCGTCTTTTCAACGCCTACTACTCCCACGCTCTTCTTACGACAAGATCCCCCTCTTCTATTTCACCGACGTCATATAATATTATTATTACTCAAAGTCCACTCCATAGATTTGAAAAGTTTAATAGCCTAGACTGTGCATTCTGACGTACTTCCGGCTCACCATGTCATGGGGGGGGGGGGGGGGTAGGTAGGGGGGACGGTGAAATACCTGTAATCCAAAACAAAAAAGCCCTTCACATCCTGCTATTATCCCCTTATCCCTCCTTTCAAACACTACTTAATTCCATTAGACATTGCCACTTAACCATAGGCACTTGTTGATGAAAGACAATCTACCTCATAATATGTAAGCATCTGGTCATTTTTTCACCTGCTGGTCTTATTTCTGCATATGTTGATGTGGGTTTTTTTAAAAGTCAAAAAGTGGGTAATTAGATTTTCCTCATCCTATCCAACAATTCCGAGCGGCTGAGAGAAAAAACAAAACAAAAAGATTTTGAGAGTGTTTTGTAAACACAAAGGTCTCCGGGAGATCAGCTCACTGTCGCTTACATTGTGGGGTCCATAGTGTTGACGGCTGAGAGAGGACAACGACATGACCAAACCATAAGCATTCGATGAATTCTAATGTCTGATAAACTGAGATCTACGATGTAACGCAGGAATGCACTTTTACTCTTTGACCTGCTCCATTACTCGAATATTCAGTCCTCGGGCCTCCTGATAGTAAAGTGGTTAAAGGAAGAAAAAAAGGTGGGTGGTTAGCGGGTTCTCTGCTCCTTTCCTATCAAACATCTTGCTTCTTTACCTGTCTTCTTTCTTTTTGCGTTTGTTACTCTCTTGTAATCTCTCTAATCTTATTGTGTTGAATGCGTTGTTAAACACTTGCTACAACCAA